ATAGATAGATAGATAGATAGATAGATAGATAGATAGATAGATAGATAAAGTGTGCATGAGGGGTGGAGTTCTATGTGTGTGGTGTACACATGTTTGTATTTGCTATTTGCTATACTTATTTTAGTTTTTAAGACAGAGTCTTACTATATAGCCTTATTTGGCCTGGTACTTCATATATAGCTCAGGATGATATTTATTTCTTACAGTCCTCCTGCCTCAGCCAACTCAGTGTTAGACAGGCATGAACAACTATATCCAGCTCCACATTTTATTTTTACTTTTGTTTTTTTGAAAATCAGTACCTTAGAACTAGGGAGAACTAGTACCTTAGAACTATGGGTGTGGGTAAAATGTTCACTGTGGGTAAAATGGAAACAGGAGGACTGGAGTTCAAATCTGGGGATTTGAACTCATAAATATATAATGGGTGTAGCAGCACTGCCTGAAGTGCTTACATAGGGATAGGGTCCCCACAGAGCAAGATGACTAGCTGGAATAGCCAAGTTGTCATTGAGGGTTCAAGTGAAATACCCTGCCTCAGTATAGAAGATGGAGAATGAGCAATCAAGGATAACACTCATGTCAACCTCATGTTAAGATCTACATACATACATGCGTGCACACCACATACACATGCAATGGAATCAGGGTGCACCTTTGATACTATCACTGAGGTTGAAGCAGGAAGACCACAAATTGTAGGCCACCCTGGACTATATAGAAAGACTATCTCAACAACAGTAACAACAAAACACCAGAAACAAAATTAGTGATTTAGGGCTAGGAATATAGCTCAGTGACAGAGTACATGTAAGAGGTCCTGGGTTTGATTCCCAGGATTACACACAAAAAATAATAATAAATAAAAGTTATCCTTTAAACCAGTGGTTCTCAGTGTTCCTAATGCTGTGACCCATTAATACAGTTTCTCATGTTGTGGTGACACTCAACCATAAAATTATTTTTATTGCTACTTCATAACTAATTTTGCTACTGTTATGAATCATAATGTAAATATCTGTGTTTTCTGATGGTCTTAGGTGACCACTGTGAAAGAGTCATTCTACCCCCAAGGAGTTATAACCCATAGGGTGTAGGGGTAGACTATAGTGTTAATAAATACTGGTCTTTCTGAGGAAGATGGGGTTTTAGAAACAAATCCCTGTGGTGGATGCACAACAGTATGAATGTGGTAAATTCCACATTGCCACAAACTTAAAAATGGTTCAAATGTGGGTCTGTGTAACTTAGTGATACAGTGCATGCCTGGGATGAATAAGGCCCAGAGTTATATCTCCAGCACCAAAAAAAAAAAAATAAAGTTAAAGTTGAAATGGTTTATGGTACATATATTTTTCCATAGTAACTTAGATGCATTCTGGTCAGATTAAAGTCAGTAGATTACAGTGAAAGACATCTCAGAATGTCACTGACATTCCTTTATGTTACTTTTACTTTTCTGTGATGATATACATGACATAAATAACTTTAGAGAAGGACAATTTTTGTTAAGCATGATTTCATGGCTGAATTCTCCCATAGTAGGTTTGGCATGGTGGAGCAGATCTGTTCAGTTCATCATAGATAGGATGTAGAGCAAAGCAGCAACAGGAAAGGCAAAATGCAGCCCCTTAGATCATGCCCACTGTCTCCAACCATGTTCCACCTTCCACAGTTCCACCACCTCCCAATAGTTTTTTTCAAATTCTGAAACCATAGATGGATTTAAAAACAAACAAACAAACAACAACAACAAAAAACATTAATTAGGTCAGCACTTCAAGATCTAATTGTCTCTGGAAACATCCTTGTAGACACAGCCAGAGCTGTGCTTCACTACTGTGCTGACAATTTTTCAGTCCAGTGAACATGACAATCAAAATTAACTGTCAAACTTTGTGTGTTTTGTTGTTGTTGTCATTTTGGGTTTTTTTGTTTGTTTGTTTTTTTGAAACAGGGTTTCTCTGTGTAGCCTTGGCTGTCCTGGGCTTGGTTTGTAGACCAGGCTGGCCTCTTACTTACAGAGATCCATCTGCCTCTGCCTCCATGAGTTCTGGGATTAAAGGCATGCTCATTTGTCTATTTTTATGGTGCTGAGGCTAGAAACCAAGACTTCTTGGATACTAGGCAAATACTTTATCACAGACCTACACACCAGCCCTGTTTTGTTCTAAATATATTTATATATACATATCAGAGTTTATATATTCAGTAAGTATAAACAGTTTCTTTTTAACATTTGGATGTGGGCGTGGGTGTACATGTTCCATAGCTTATGCAAAGAGGTTAGAGTACAACTGCTGAGAGAATGGAACTCAAGTCAGGAGACTTGCCAAGAATCACCTTTATCTGCTGAGCTACCTCTCAGGCTCATACAAACAAGAAAGTTTGTATTTAACCCGGAGGCCTTCTCTTTCCACTGGTTTTACAAATCCTCCATCATATGATGATTCAAAGACTAACACAACAAGTATGGCTGAATTCTACCCAGGCTATGTGTCATTTTGCTACACTAACTTGGGACACCCGCTTGGAATTATCCTAACAAGTGTTCCCATGCCTCTGTGCCCTACAGCAAGAGCTCATTGACAGTATCAGCCGCAAGCTGCAGGTGCTCCGGGAAGCCCGGGAAAGCCTGCTAGAGGACATCCAAGCGAACAATGCTCTTGGGGATGAGGTGGAAGCCATTGTGAAAGATGTCTGCAAGCCCAATGAGTTTGACAAGTTCCGGATGTTCATTGGGGACCTGGACAAAGTGGTGAACCTCCTGCTGTCACTGTCAGGGCGCCTGGCTCGTGTAGAAAATGCCCTCAATAATTTGGATGACAGTCCTTCTCCTGGAGACCGGGTACATACAAACACATCTGTCTGGGAAATGGGAAGTGGTGAGCAAGGCAATCCTTGGGGTGCTAAAAAAAAAAAAACTCAGCTATTAGAAGCCTCATATTGTCTGTGCATGGCCTGTATAATATCTAGAGTTTGGTGTTCTGGTACATCTGAGGTCTGCTCTCTCAGCTTCCTTTCAATTGGCAGACAGAACAAGCTAATGGAATGCAGGGAGTCGGGGGCATTACAGGCATGTACCACCATGTCTATCCTTAGTTTACTTGTACTCAAAAGAAGAGAAACAGCTATCTTGCTGGCTTTATTTCATAGATTGTATTTCAATCAAGCTCTCTCTCTCTCTCTTTCTCTCTCTCTCTCTCTCTCTCTGCATTCTTTGCATATTATAGAACTTCAAAAAGAACATCTTTATTAATGAAATACTTACTGCACTCTTCCACCACTATCTCAGCAGCTTTCAGGCATCCATGTGACTTTAACAACCTGAACTACATTTAGAAACAGTTACTATTAGTCTGATTATTTTCTAACTGGACTAAGTTGGTCTTACGTGGCCCCTTTCAATGATAATATCATATCTATTTGTCTCAGGCCTGACAAGCAAAATGTGCTTGTATGGTCATGGACATGCCAAAGAGATTTTCTGGTTCAGGACACATTTAGAAACTGGTAACAGCCCATCTTTCCTGATCTCTTTCTGCCAGACTCCATGTGAAGACATTGGATGCATTCATCTCTTCCTTTCTTAGCTTCCTTCATCTTTGAGTTGGTAGGGCTTCTACTGGGTGCATGTATTCTGTAAACTGTAAGCAGTGATTGTTAGTGTCATGTGTCAGAGACATGGTTGTTTATCCCTTAGTCTCAAGCAGGACACTGTACCTCCCCTAAACAGGACACTTAGGAGTTAAGGGCTGTTCCATTATAAACCTTCCAGCAATTCTGCTTTGTCTTTGTAGCACCTCTTATTAAATTTTAATCCTGCCCTAGAATCAATCAGTCTCGGGTCATGTGTGTGTCTCTGTGTGTGTCCATCCTTGTGTTTCTGTGTCCTTCTCCTTCTTTTCCTTCTACTCCTCTCCCTCTCATACTAAAAAGATTGAACCCATGGTCTTACTCAAAATACTAGGAAAACTCTACCACAGTGTTACAGCCCCAATCCTATTTCTACTTTTTATTTTGAGGACATTGTCTGGGCTAGATTTGAATTTACTTTATAGCTAAGGCATAACTTTCATTTATAAGTTTTCTGCCCAGCCTCCTGAGTAGCTGTGATTAAAAGCCTGTGCCCCAGGCTCAACTTAATTATCATATTTCCCTTTTTCAGTTTTGAGCCTAACATGATGCCAAAGTATTTTGTTGCTAGTCCCTGATTTTAAGGCAAATGGGAGAGAAGGCACAGAGAGAGAAAACTCAGAGAGGGGCCAGTGAATTACTTTGGGGAGGGACAGGGAAGGAGGAACTGTAGAGAAGCTAGCCACAGTTACAAGCACATGTAGACCACATCCTGGTCACTCCTGTGGGAATGCCATGTGGCTTCAAGGTTTCCATGGATACCTACGAGACAAGTCTCCAAAACCTGCAGAGCTTTTAAAGTGGTTGTTGGCCAGTTGCTACTTTAGTTGTGCCTCAACAGAACTTTCTGTCTCTCTCCCCTTCAATAGCAGTCACTGTTGGAGAAACAAAGAGTCCTAACCCAGCAACATGAGGATGCCAAGGAGCTTAAAGAGAACCTGGACCGCCGTGAGCGCATTGTGTTTGATATACTGGCCACCTACCTCAGCGAGGAGAACCTGGCTGATTATGAGCACTTTGTGAAGATGAAGTCGGCTCTCATCATTGAGCAGCGAGAGCTGGAAGATAAAATCCACCTGGGTGAAGAGCAGCTCAAGTGCTTGTTTGACAGCCTACAGCCTGAGAGAAGCAAATGAGAAGCCCATTCCCACAGAAGGTAGACACTGAGCTTTGAAGATTGCCTGGGACTACATGAGTGAACCCAAGCCTATTTGCCTATCTCTGGAAAGACACACTCTAGAGCCACTAGGCTAGTAAAAAAGCAATAATGTCCTGTTAGTGTGTGATGATTTGTTTTTGTTTTTAATTTCTGTTGGTTTGCTGAGCAGAGTCTCGTACCACATGTGGCTTCACAGGATGCCAGGCTTTCATAGTCATCAAGGGTCCTCTAGTATGTCCAATGGCTGGACCCACAGTATATGCAAGCATTCCTTTGCAACAGTGGCACTGTTACTCCTCCCTTGTGTAGATGCCAAATACATCTCTACAATGCATGAGAGAAAAGACCCTTGTGATTTAGCCAGGCATGGACTGCTGTGTGTTCTGTTCTTGTTCATTCAACAATGTGAGCATTCATCAGTCTATCATCAATACGTTCTCTGTCCCAGTAAAAATCAGTGATGATGATAATTTATTGATGTGTGGAAAAGATGAACCATTTCCTAGTAGTTAAAAGCCAACTATGAAATGAACAACCTACATATTTGGTTCACTCATTCCAAGATTAAAACCATCACATAACTTGTATGCATGCTTTGAAACACCCAAAATAAACAGATAGCTAGCATCCTTGTCAAATCTTAAATAATTTCTAACCGAGAAACATTACTTAGTTAAAAGTGTGTCTACTAATAATGTTATTGCTTGTTCTTTATTTCCTGAGACCAATGGAATATTTTGAAGTTTCCTTCCCCAGAATACTAATTTGTTTGTGTACATGATCCTTAATGATAATCAGTGGCTTATCTTCTTTTTACCATTCTGCCTGTTACCATGGGCCACATGCCATGTGGTCCTCTGGTCAGAGGTCCTGTAGAGTGACTAGTGCTTACATTTGAAACAGAATTTTGTCCTTAACAGTTGAAATGGCAAGGTGACAAATAGAGTATTTACTCATTAAAGCAACAGTTGACAGGACAGAAAATGGGAGAAAACATGTAAATTATGTGTCTGATTTGCTGCTCATTTTCTTTTTGTTATTTGTTTTCAAAGAGTGTCATTTAACCCAGATTGGCTTCAAACTCCCTATATAATCCAAATGACCTTGAACTCTTGATCCTCCTGCCTCCACTTCCTGAGTTCTGGGTTCAACAGCATACCCCTCTTCATGGCTTCATACTGATAAACAATTTGTATAAAGAACTCCCAACCCCCAACACTAGGAAACAAATGTTTTGAAAAAAGTGGGCAAAAGATTTGACTAGACACTTCACCAAAGAGAATATTTATATGGCGGATAAATGCATAAAAAATGTTCAGCCACCAAAGGGGTGTATAACTTACATTAAATGTATGTATATTTGGTGTAGTTCAAAAGATGTTTATGTAACTAAATGCATGGTGAGTGACCATCAAGTCTCCCTGGTAACTTGATGTTTAGGCATTACTAGTCTTTGTTTAATCAAGGGATTATTTAAATCAAATTTTCCCCTGATATTGCAGCACATGCAAAGATTTCCCTCTCTTAGCAGTTAACACAACCATTCCAAAATACATGTGCACATTTATATCCATGTGTATATGCATATGTTCACACTCCCATATGAACCAGAATCCATGCTTCCTGAGCCAGAGAAACAGAAGCTGACACCATAAGCTCTGGTGAAGATGGTAGTACCCTCTATAGAGCTGAGTCAAGAAGGGCAAGCTTCTGCACCACACACCACAGATGGCCTTGCTCACAGCCTACCACTGTCCATCAGAAGAAAAATCTTTGCAAAAGTGTTGATTCATATTAAATGAAGCTACTTCTACCTTTTGAAGTCTCTGATCTGCCACTGCAGACTCTTCCTTCTTCCACTTGGTTTTCCCTTGCTGTGAATGTGGGTCATGTCAGAAAACATGATTCTGGCTGTCCACAAACTTTCCAAGGAATTAAAGACTATTTTGTTTTTAATTTACAACAAACTATTTACCTGTGGTTCTTTACCCCCAAATACAGTGTTGTGAACATCTTAATGAAATGTGTGTAAAATGTGTATAATGGAATTTTGTTTGTAACCTGCCTCTTCTTTGTTGCTTCAGGATTGTCTGTTATGGAGAAAAATATGTAGTGCTCTAGCATGCTTGTAATGAAACACATAACAATTATGACCTTCCTGTCTATTCTCTACTTGCCTGTTCAATGTCTGATTAGCAGGGACCCAATAATTCCAGAGAGTCCATGTAATATGTCTATGAATAAGTGATTCTATTTCATAAGAAATAATCTGGTGCTAATGGTTGGTCCTTGGCATGCATAGGTGTTGGCATGGGCACAGCTATGGAGCTCTGTACACACACTGACCTTGCTTGTGGTCAGCTTTTGTGGCTTTATCCTTAACTCCACCCTGGCCAATATGCACATTCATGCTTGATGCTTACCACTTATCAACAGATTCTCTTGCTTGACTTTAACAAAATAAAGTGTCTCTTCAAATGAAAGAAGGATGTCTTTATTTCTTACATTATAGCTTTGTAAAAAGAATAAAAATAGCAGTGCTGGGCATGTCTAGGGTATAAGCATGGTGCCCTGAGTTCAAATATGAGCATTCCTGCCAGGCACAGTAGCAAATACCTGCAACTCCAGTCCTTGGTGGTGCAGTGACTCTTTTGACCCACAACACAGTTGTTATGTCTGCATACAGGTACAAAATACATCTCTAATGGGGCACAGGCAAGATTCTTGTGATGCAGGCGGCTGTGAATTTTGTCATTTCTAGGTCAACAGTGTGACCATTCATCACATCTGTCATAGTTCGCTAATGCAGCAAAAGTCAGTGGTGATAATTAATGTTTAGGAACATGAATAGTTTCCTGGTGCTTAAAAACAAATTGAAATGACTAACATGTAGACTGTACCTAATCACAGATTAAAATTTTAGTTTTGTTAACAAATCTACTACAATATTATTTTTTAATTAATGATGTTGTCCTTTCTGAGAAGCCTTTTGGTTTTATTGCTCTCCTTGTGTAACTACTGGTATTTCTATCTCCCCCTTCTTTCCCTGCACTCTGCCCAAAGTTTTGCTATGAGTCTCATCAGCATGTGCTTTAATAACCTGCTGGGTAGAGTCTTTCAGAGGTCCTCTGTGTTAGGCTCCTGTCCTGTTCCCTGTTTTTACCCTCTTCCAATGTCCATCCTTTTTGCCTTTCTGAATGAGGATTGATCATCTTACCCAGGATCCTCCTTGCTTAGCTTGTTCAGGTGTACAAATTTTAGTATGTTTATCCTATATTATATGTCCACTATCCACTAATAAGTGAGTATATGCCATGTATGCCTTTCTGCTTATGGGATACCACACTCAGAATGATCTTTTCTAGTTTCCAACATGTGCCTGCAAATTTCATGATTTCCTTATTTTTAATTGCTGAGTAGTATTCCATTGTGCAAATATACAACTTCTATATCCATTCTTCAGGTGAGGGACATTTGGGTTGTGTCCAAATTCTGGCTATTACAAATAAAGCTGCTACAAACATGGTTAAGCAAATGTCCTTGTATACATGAGCATCTTTTGGATATATGCCTAGGAGTGGTATAGCTGGATCTTGAGAAAACACCATTCGTAATTTTCTAAGATAGCACCAGATTGATTTCTGAAGTGGTTGTACAAGTTTACATTCCCACCAGCAATGGAGGAGGGTTCCCCTTTCTCCACATCCTCGCCAGCATGTGTTGTCACTTGAGATTTTTATCTTAGCCATTCTGAAGGGTGTAAGTTGAAATCTCAGGGTCGTTTTGATTTGCATTTCCCTGATGACTAAGGACATTGAGCATTTCTTTGTTTCTCTCAATTCCTCTATTGAAAATTCACTGTTTCGCTCTGTACCCCATTTTTAAATGGGATTACTTGATTTATTGCTGTTTAACTTCTTGTGTTCTTTACATATTTTGGATAATAGCCCCCTGTCAGATACAGGATTGGTGAAGATCCTTTCCCATTCTGTAGGCAGTCATTTTGTTCTGACGACAGTGTCTTTTGCTTTACAGAAGCTTTTCAGTTTCATGAGGTCCCATTTATTGATTGTTGATCTTAGAGCCTGTCCTATTGGTGTTCTGTTCAGGAAGTTGTCTCCTGTGCCAGTAAGTTCAAGGCTCTTCACCACTTTTTCTTCTAACTGATTTAATGTGTCTGGTTTTATGTTGAGGTCTTTGATCCACTACAACTTTACTTTTGTTCAGAGTGATAAATGTGCATCTATTTTAATTTATTTTTCTACATGTAGACATCAGTTAGACCAGCACCATTTGTTCAAGATGCCATCTTTTTTTTCCATTGTATTGTTTTGTCTTCTTTGCCAAAAATCAAGGGTCTCTAGGTGTCTAGGTATATTTCTGGGTCTTCTTTTCGATAACACTGATCACCATTTTGTTTCTATGCCAATACCATGCATTTTTTTAAATTACTTTTGCTCTATAGTACAGCTTGAGATCAGGGATGGAGATACCTCCAGAAGATCTGTTGTTATACAGCATTGTTTTAGCAATTCTGGGTTTTTTGTTTTTTCATATGAAATTTAAATTTTTTTTCAAGTTCTGTAAAGAATTGTGTTGGTATTTTGATGGGAATTGCATTGAATCTGTAGATTGCTTTTGGCAGGATGGCCATTTTCACTATGTTAATCCTACAGATCCATGAACATGGGGGATCTTTCCATCTTCTGATGTCTTCTTCAATTGCTTCAGAGACTTGAAGTTTTTTTCATACAGGTCTTTCACTTGCTTGGTTAAAGTCACACCAAGGTACTTTATATTATTTGTGGCTAAAATTCCTTAATTTTTTTCTCGGCCCATTTGTCTTTTGCATACAGGAGGGCTACTGATTTTTTTGAGTTAATTTTTCATCCAGGCATTTTGCTGAAGGTGTTTATCAGCTGAAGGAGTTCTCTGGTTGAATTTTTGGGTCACTCATGTATACTATCATGTCATATGCTAGTAGTGATACTTAGACATCTTCCTTTTCAATTTATATCCCTTTGAAATCCTTTGTCTTGATGCTCTAGCTAGGACTTCAAGTACTATGTTGAAGAGATATGGAGACAGTGGGCAGCCTTGCCTTGTCCCTAATTTCAGTGGGATTAATTTAAGTTTCTCTCCGTTTTGTTTGATGTTAGCTATAGGCTTGCTGTATATATTGTCTTTACTATGTTTAGGTATGTGCCTCATATCCCTGATCTCTTCATGACTTTAACAATGAATGGGTCTTGGTTTTGTCAAATGTTTTTCCTGCATCTATCAAGGGGATCATGTGGTTTTTCTCCTTCAGTTTGTTTATATGGTTTATTATATTGATGGATTTCTGTGTATTGTACCACCCCTGCACGCCTGGGATTAAGCCTACATGGTCATGGTGGATGATGTGTTCTTGGATTCAGTTTGTGAGTATTTCAGAGTATTTTTGCATCAATGTGCATAAGAGAAATAGGTCTGATGTTCTCTTTTTTTGTTGGGTCTTTGTATGGTTTAGGTATCAAGGTGACTGTGGCCTCATAGAATGAGTTTGGTAATGCTACTTCTGTTTCTATTTTGTGGAATAGTTTAAAGAGAATTGGAGTTAGCTGTTCTTTGAAGGTCTCTTAGAATTCTGTACTGAAACCATCTGGCCCTGGGATTTTTTTGGAAGGGACACTTTCAATGACTGCTTTTATTTCCTTTGGAGATCTAGGACTATTTAATCTATTTACTGATCTTGATTTGATTTTGGTAATTGGACTCTATCAAGAAAATTGTCAATTTAATTTATATTTTCAAATTTTGTAGCATATAGGCTTTTGTAGTAAGATCTAATGGTTATTTGGATTTCCTCAGTGTCTCATAATGTCCCCCTTTTTGTTTCTGATTTTGGTAATTTGGATAGTTTCTCTTTGCCTTTTAGTTAGTTTAGCTAAATATCTATCTTGTTGATTTTCTCAAAGAACCAGCTCTTGGTCTCACTGATTCTTTGAATTGTTTTCTTTTGATCTTCTTGTATCTGTTGACGCTTTATGTCTGACTATATGGTCAATTTTTGAGAAGGTTCTGTGAAGTGCTAAAAAGAAGATATACACGTTTAAGTTTGGTTGAAAAGTTCTGTACACATCTATTAGGTCCATTTGGTTTAGGACCTCTGTAAGTGTCATTATTTCCCTATTTAACTTCCATCTAATTGATGAAATCTGTCCCTTGAATGTTGAAGTCTCCCACTTTTAAGGTGTTGGGATCAATGTGCTATTTAAGCTTTAATAATGTTTCTTTTACAAATGCAGGTGCTCCTGTATTTGGATCATAGATGTTCAGGATTGTGAGGTCCCCCTGGTTGATTTTCTTTTGAGAATGAAGTGCCCTTCCTCAACTTTTTGATTAATTTTGGTTGAAAGTCTTTTTTATTAGATATCAGGATAGCTAATCCAGCTTGTTTTCTGGGTCCATATGCTTGAGAAACCTTTTTTCAGCCCTTTACTCTGAGGTAGTGTTTATGTTTGTTGCATTGATATGTTTCTTGGATGCAGAAGAATGTTGCATCCTGTTTCTGCAGCCATTCTGTTTGTGTCTTTTTTATTGGAGAATTGAGTACATTGATGTTGATAGATAATAGTGACCAATGAATATTATTTCCTTTTATTGTGGAATTGGTGGTGTTAGTGTGTTTCTAATTTGTTTTCTTTTATTTTTTTGTTGTAAGTTATCTATATCCTTTGTTTTCTTCAGTGTAGTTTATTTCGATAGATTGGAGTTTTCCTTCTATTATCTTCTATAGGTCTGGGTTGCTGTGTAGATAATGTATAAGTTTAGTTTTGTCGTGGAATATTGTTTTCTCCGTCTATGTTGACTGAAAGCTTTCCTGGGTAGAGTAGTCTGGGTTGGCATCTGTGGTTTCTTAGAGTTTGCATGACATCTGCCCAGGCCCTTCTGGCTCTCTGTTGAGAAGTCTTGTGTGATTCTGATAGGTCAACCTTTATATATAACTTAGCCTTTTTCCATTGTTGATATTAATATTTTTTTCTTTGTTCTGTAGATTTAGTGTTTTGACTATTGTATGTTGTAAGAAGTTTCTTTTCTGGTCTAGTCTATTTGGATGCTCTGTAGCCCTCTTGGATTTATATGGACATCTCTTTCTTTAACTTGGGAAAATTTTCTTCTATGGTTTTCTTAAAAATATTTTCCGGACTTGGAGCCTGTAATCTTCTTTTTCATCTATTCCTATTATTGTTAGATTTCGTCTTTTCATGGTGTCGTTGATTTCTTGGATGTTTTTGTTTGGAACTTTTCCAAGTTTATTTTTCTTTGAGAGATGTATCTATTTCTGCAATTGTATCTTCAGCACTTGAGATTCTTTCTTCCATCTCTTGTATTCTGTTGGTGATGCTTATCTTTGTGGATCCTGATCTTTCTCTAAGTTCTTCAGCTCCAGGGTTTCCTCTGTTTGTGTTTTCTTAATTGATGTGTTTCACCATTTCCTTCATCTGTTTGAATGTGGATTCCTCTCTTTCCATCATGCCTCTATTTTTTTTGTTTGTTTCCTCTCTAT